GAGGCATCTATCTTCCCAAAAATCGGCGGCGACAGGGCATTTGTGTGTTTTAAGTAATCAGGTAAACTTTGATCTCTTAGAAACAATTAAACAAAGGATTGGATTTTTTTTTGTATTAAGAATGATTGTACTTTGTTGGTTTCATCAAATATTTTGTTGTTTTAGTGTTATAATTGAAGAATATATGTTGATTAATAAGGGTAGAAGTAATGTATACATGGGATGGGTATTACCCATGGGTACCCGAGATCCGCGGGTGTGGAAAAGGGTATGCAAATCCTCCACCCACATGAGTATGGGGTGGGTATGAGTATGGATATTTGGAAATGGGGATGGTTTAGAAAAACCCGCCCCAAACCCATCCAATTGCCATTCCTACTTCCAAGTTCCAATAGCTCCATTGGACCATTACCTATTCTTTCCTCCCATTAATTCCCTTATTTGCCTCCCTACCTATTCATTCCCCAATTAATTCCTTTCCCATTTAATTTCCTGCATTCCCCAAAACTATTAAGTTTCCTTTTCCTTTTGTGCCTAAATCACGATTTTCTTCCTTTCTTTTCTTTCTTCGGCGAGAACAGAGCAGCCGGCAGTACGATGAGAGAGCACAGTGCTGCAACGGGACAAGGCTGAAGATGGAACCGCAGTGAGCGATGATGATGGCGTGGAGGCATAGGCGGAGGCAGGGGCATTAGTCCTTGTCACGGGACAGAGATAAATTTCGGAGTGAAAAAAAAAATACTCATATATATTTATATTGATGATGAAAAAAATAATTAAAGGTGATATTATAGTATTTTATCAGTACAACACAAGTATACAACTTATTAATTATTCATAAATTGATATAAAATTAATTTTTTTTTATAGGAACCTGTAAAACTTTTATTTAACCAGTGGAAGCTGTTACATTATCCAGCTGTAGCTGGTCAAGCAAGATCATCGGGGGTATATCTACCCAAACGATACGTTCATTCCATCGAGTTTCCACATGTGCCATCAAATGAGCAGCTTCATTTCCCGTACGTTTCACATGTTGCCATGAACATTCTCCCATCGCCCTCAGGTGACGTCTAATGCTCCGGCAGATCGTACCTGTTTCCGAATGAATAGAGTCTGCTTCATGAATCTTCTTCACTAGAGCCAGGCAATCCACTTCCAGGATAGGATTCATAATATGGTTTTGGAGAGCAACCTGAACCCCAAATTCCGCCGCTAATGCTTCCGCCTCTTCGATCGACCAACTCCCCTCCATTTTCTTTGCTGCTGCACACAGAAAACGACCCATCCAATCTCGTGCCACCATCCCCAGGCCAATGCCCCCACTCGTCAGCACACTGGCATCCGTATTTATCTTGACTCGTCCCTGCTCCGGTAATCTCCAATGACTACTATCACTGTCATGTGTTGGTATGCTGCTTCTTCTTTCTTGACTCCGGTAATCTTCCCTAAAAGCTTTTGCCCGGGGGATAATCTCGTTCTCCTCAAGCCGATGCCCATTAAACATTTGGGCATTGCGCTCCCTCCAGAAGAACCAGAGCACGATGCACCATGCCTCAACCCTCTCATCCGACTCAGATCCCATCACAGCCTCCACCCACTGGTAGCAGTCGTCACTTGGCCGGTTGGTGAAACAGGTTGCAAACTCAGATTGCCTCCATAGTCTAGACACCCAAGCACATTGGCAAAAGGCATGGACTTGTGTTTCCCGTAGATCGCAGTAAGGGCACTTATCCGTCCTCCTCTCGCTTTTCACACTTATGTGATCGCCGGTGGGGAGCACACCCCTCATAAACCGCCACATGAAATGCTTCACTTTAGGAGGCATATCCAGCGACCATAGCCTCTTCCATATACTAGCTTCTCCAATAGGAACTATCTGTTGCTGGTCTTTGAGGAATTCCTGTAACCATGATTTATAGCCGTCCCTGACTGTGTATTCACCCGAGTCATTAGTTGCCCATATTATCCGATCCGTTTCTCCATTTCCCCGGAGTGGGATCTGTCTGATCTTGTTGACTATATCATTGGGGAAGCATCTCTCTAAAATCTCCAAATCCCACTCCTCAGCATCTGGCTGGATAAGCTCTCGTACCACCGAGTCTGCAGGTAATCCCTTCGGCGCTGATTCCACGTACCACGGATCCCCGGTTGGCAACCAGTTATCGCCCCATATCCGAACTTCCGTTCCGTTTCCCATTTTCCACCGGATCCTTTTGCAAAGGAACTCTCGTGCACTTAACAAGCTCCGCCAGATGAAGCTGGGTCTATACCCCAAGGAGGCATCTAAGACTGTGGTATTTTTGTAGTACTTGGCTTTCATCAGTCGAGCGATCAGCGACGAGGGCCTTTGGTATAGCCTCCACACCTGTTTTGCCAGCATGGCCGTATTAAAACCTTCTAAATCTCGAAAACCCATGCCTCCCTCCTCTTTCGGGCACACCATACCTTCGCGACTAACCCAGTGCACACGTCGCTCAGCTCCCTTTTGCCCCCAGTAAAAGTTCATAATTAGACTATGAACTTCGTTCACAATGGCAACCGGTATTCTGAAAACCGACATAGCATAGGTGAATTGTGATTGAGCCACCGCCCTTATTAGTGTTTCTCTTCCTGCGACTGAGAGAGTCTTCTCTTTCCACCCTTTCAACTTTTTGCGCACCCGTTCCTTTAAGCCGTCAAAGATTTCCTTCTTTGAACGCCCGACCACAGTTGGCAAGCCAAGGTACTTCTCATGCTTCTCCACCATAGTCATCGCCAAAGTCCCGCTTACCATCAATCTCATATGCATCTTTACATTACCACTGAACGACACCTCTGATTTTGGATAACTTACGACCTGACCTGATTCTGCTGCATACCCTTGGAGGAGGCTCTTCAGAGTGTCCGCTTCCTATGTTGTTGCTCTCCCGAAGAAAACACAATCATCAGCAAAGAAAAGATGGCTAATTGTTGGGGCACCTCTGGTCACTTGTATACCATGCAACCTGCGTTCACTTACTGCCTGTCTGGTAATGGCCGAGAGCCCTTCCGCACAAAAGAGGAAAAGGCAGGGAGACAGAGGATCCCCTTGCCTTAGTCCTCTCGCTGGGGAGAACCGTTCGGACTGGTGCCCATTGACAAGAACCGAGTAGGAAACAGTACGCACACACATCATGATGAGCTCAATCCACCGCGAGTCAAAGCCCATTCGATTCATTGCCCCCTCCAGAAAGCGCCACTCCACTCGGTCATACGCTTTCGCCATATCAATCTTGGCGGCAAACATTCCTGGTCCAGTCTATTTCTTCTTCTTCATCGTATGAAAGCACTCAAAAGCTGCCATGATATTATCCGTGATAACTCTACCCGGGACAAAAGCACTCTGTTCCGGCGAGATGACATCATCCAGGACCATCTTAAGCCTGTTCGCCAACACTTTTGAGACCAGCTTATAAAGAACATTACACAGGCTTATAGGTCTAAACTCCTGTGGACTAGCAGGCGACTTCACTTTCGGAATGAGAGCAATAAGAGTGTGGTTCAACTCCTGCGGCATCACCCTAGTTTCCAAAATTCCCAACACCACCTTCACGACATCATCTCCAACAATATCCCAATATTTTCTGTAAAAGAGAACGGATAAGCCATCTGCTCCCGGTGCTTTCCTGAGTCCCATTTGTTTCAGTGCTGTGACTACTTCTTCTCTCCCAAACGGACGCAACAGCATCTCGTTTTGCTCCGTAGTCACCGAAGCCCTCATGGAATCCAGGACCGGGGTAGCCTGCGGAACATCACTAGCTGTAAACAGATTAGAGAAGTTGTTAGTGAAACACAGGAAAATCTGCTCAACGGTTGTGTGCCATTGCCCTCCTTCATCCTTTATCTTGCGAATTGTATTGCGTCTTCTTCTCGCCGAAGCTTTCTTATGGAAGAAAGCTGTATTCTTGTCACCACCCTTCAACCAATCCGCTCTAGACCTTTGGCTCCAATACAGCTCTTCATTTGCCTCCAGTTCCGCAAGCTCCAACTCCAGTTGTTTTCGCTGTTGGACTACCAGCTCCGAGCGAGGTCTCCAATCTAGCGCAGCCAGAGCTCTCTTGATTTTCCGACGCTGCCGCCCAAAATTTGGGAAAACTTCCTTGCTCCACGAGCTTAGACTTTCCCTGCAAGAAAGAAACTTTGTAAGTAAATCCGCTCCCCCACAATCTAACCATGCCTTCTCAATCACACGGTGACAGTCTTCATGCTTTGCCCAGTAGGGCTCGAATTTAAAAGACCACCCCCATTTGGGCTCCTCGTCAGCTTCGCCGCAAGTATCACAAATGATCGGGCGGTGGTCCGACCGTTCTTTCTCGAGATTCAGAACTCGTGCACCTGGGAATAGCCCCGACCAATTATCTGTTGCCACGAATCGGTCCAACCGTTCCTCAATATAAGCTGCACCTACTCGCCTGTTCTCCCACGTAAACGGATATCCACTGTACCCCAGGTCTCCTAACCCAACCTCATCAAGACAGTCTTCAAAAGCCACCATCCCTGCATCAGGGGCCCCTCGACCACCATTTTTTTCCTGACTGCGTAGAACTTGATTAAAATCTCCGCCGCACAGCCACGGACCATCCCACTGCCCCCCCCCCCCAGCCGTCGTAGAAGGTCCCAAGTCCTCCACTTCTCCGAGTCTTCCGACCACCCATAGATTCCTGTGAATCTCCATACACCCCCTTCGTCTTCCGTGATCCTAACATCAGCGTGGTTACGGTCCAAAGCCATCAGGTCGATATTGATGCCTTCTCGCCACCAAACTCCCAGACCTCCCGCACGTCCGCCCCCCGACATGTCCACCGAACTTGCTTCCCCTTCCTCGAATCCCAGTTCCATCTGAGTTACACGATTTTCCTCTTTCGTTTGTTTTGTTTCCGACAAGAAAACAACATTTGGGGAGTAACATCGCAAAAGCGAACGTAAAGCACGAACTGCTCGCTTGCTCCCCAGCCCGCGGCAGTTGTAACACAACAGTCTCATCTATTCCCAGAAGGGGATAGGTTCCCCGCACCATCAGCTGTTTGGTTACCTCTTTTCGAGCTAATTCCATTGCCATGAGTCACTTGGGCTTTACCACCCTTATTCACTTTCACCTTCTGAGCACCTTCCACATTGACCTGTTTCCCAGCCTTATCCTTCCCACCTTTTGCCGTATCACTACTCATCTTCTGTTTCCCATCATTCTTTGTAAGACCCCCCTCTGATCCCTTCCCAGCCATCACCCTCTCTTTTTCAGTATATCCGCCGGTCTGTGCACCCGGATTCACTTCCTCCCCACCCGACCTTTCCTTTTCTGCCATTGTTTCAGTCCGACCATCCTTCCCATAACCCTCCTGTTCGTTTAGAACATGAAATCTATTTCTTCTTGCCACCTCTTCCCTCCTGCCATCAGAGTTACTAACGCGCTTCATCGGCTGCCACACCTTCTTCTTTACCGTCATCCACTCACCGTACACCCGGCCTTCAGTTGGGTTCGCATCTTGGGTTTCCGGTACTACAGTTTCCTCCAATTCTTTTTCCTCTTCACCCATTGCATGGCATTTGCATGAGGTTGTTTTATTCCCATACATTCCACATTCCCCACATATGTCTTCCAAGCCTTCATACTGAATTAGATAGGTAGTTCCCTCAACTTTGTATTGTGAAAGTAATGGACGAGAGAGGTCCACTTCGACGCAAACTCTAGCGTAGTTTCCTCTTGCACCCATCTCAGTTGCACGATCCACACGAACTGGCCGACCAATCAACTGAGCAATAATTGTAACAGCCTCCGCGTTAAAGAATTCGATAGGTAGGTCCGGCAGCTGGACCCACACAGGCGTGGACTTCACCTCTACTTTCCATGGGTTGAAACCCTTATACCAACGGAATACAGTCAGGTATGTCCTAGCAACCACGGCCCTTCCGAACAGGCAAGTTCATAGTCCTTCTGGCTTCTGAATCGTACCAGGAAGCATCCATTCTTCAAGTCAGAGATCTGAAGCTCACCATTCCTTGCCCACAAAAAGTTCAAACGCTTTGCAAGCGGCAGATACGCCACCTTTTTTCCCAGCCCTTTGACCACCAAGGCTGACCTCCATTCCCGTCTCCACTTGTTCTTCTGGGCAGCCGTGAATAGAGCCGGTGGACAGCGTGGGTCGTAAGTTTCCTCATCAACGACATCATCCTCTTCTCGTTCTTGTTGTAGTACATCTTCAGTATCCGACTCAGCCACGTACCAGCCCCCATCTTTCAGGACATCACTGAAGAGTCGTGCTTCCCCTCCCCGCCAGGCTGAGCGAGGTGCCTTCTGTCCTGGTTCCTCCTGCTGCTCCTTCCTTTGCGTGTCCGGTACCTCTTCACCGCCGGTTTCAGGACTCACATCAGTCATCTCTGTTTCTACGTCCATAAACGAACTTTGAAATGCAATAAATATCTAATAAACTCTTTTTTCTCCTTATGTCTATTCGTTTTCCCCCAACAATCCTGAAATTTTTTAGCGACAACGGCAATTCCACTAGTTTTGATTCTACCAATTTGCAACTACAATTGCAAAAAAAATATTTTCAGCTTTGAGTTATATTAAGGCAAAATACACTTTCATAGCCATAACTTTCGCGTTTGTGACAATAATAGTCACTTTTGGAGAAATACCAAATATAACAACTTCCGTCCAATAATTTAACCGTGTCATCTAATAGAGTTACTAGACTAACAGCAACCGTTGACGTGGTATATTTTATTGAAAAATAATGAAATATGGAAATATTTAAAATTTTATCCTTAAATTTTAATTAAATTAAATAAAAATTATAAACAAAATTTATCCTTTCTATAAAAAAACGTCCAGATCCGCCAATCAATCTTCTTGTTGGAATCTCCTTCTTGCCGCCGACTACGTCCCCGATGCGTTCGTCAAGTCCAAGCTTTTGGTGAAGGGCGTTCTCGATCTGCCTTCTGAAGACGGAGATGCTTCGACGACGACGGCAATGGCAGATCTGGACCCTCGGGGTAGTGCCCAGATCGTGATATGGGAGAATCGAGGGGGCCAACTCGAGCAGCGATGGAGGAGTGGGCACTGGAGCAGGTGCGGAGCGCCTAATATTACGATGAATCTGTCGATTACTTCCCTTTACGCGTTCCAGATCTACCCAGAAAGCATCGAAAGATCGTACTTTTGTCATTTCCCACAATCAGCTAACACTTCGTTGACCTTCCGGATAGGTTGGGACGGAATTGATGAGCAGCTACGGCCTACTGTGGAACAACAGCGGGAGAAGGGTGGAATGGTTTTGAGATTTTTTTTCCCCGGTGAATGGGAAGAGGAGAATTCCAGAAGGAGGAATTTTGTGTGGAATTTTTTTTTTCTTTTGTTTTTGTTACCAAAGCCAATGGTGACGTGAGAGAAAGGGAAAGTGATGTGGGGAAGAAAAAAAAATCAAGTAATTATTTATTAATTTCTGATGTGTAATTATTAAATAAATTTAAATTATAATATGTTATTTTTGACTTATTTGGCGCTGATGTGTGTGCTGAGTAGGAGCCTAGTCAGGGAACCGTTAAAGAACTTGACAGTGTTACTAACACCGTTAAAGTATATAACGGAAATGGCTAGATTTATCATAAAACAACTAGAAAATCTGGCTATAAGTGGTATTTCTCCAAAAGTGACTATTATTGTCACAAACGCGAAAGTTTTTGGCTATGTAGATGTATTTTGCCTTATATTAAGAACAAGTTTGAAGTCGAATTGGCGACCAGATTGCTAATGATTGTTTAGTGCGATACATTAAAAGAGACTTACTTAACATTGTAGACAACAAATGTTTTGTGTTTTTTTCACAATATGAAATTCCGTCGTTGTTGCTTATGAAAACAATGATTTTATTAGTCGATAATTTTTTATATGTGAATGAATTATTTGGATATAATTATTTTTAATTTTATTTATTAAATAATTATTAATTTTATTTATATATTTATATTATGAAAAGAGGACATGGGTAGTTTCAAATCCTGCTTCCGCCACTGCGTGGAGGTGGCCTGAATCGGCGACCTGTGATGACGACGACCACGCTGCAATAACAGGAGGTGCAACGACCAATGGTCCCAAAATCGCCAGTCCGGACTAGGCAGTTCTTCCGGGTAACCTACTAAACTGGTCAATAATCGGTCGGCTAGCATCCTTCAAATTTTCAGACAATCAAAACTGGATAGCTATCGGGGTCCGATTAACCGCGATCTAACCATCCGGTCCGACCCAGTTTTGATAACAATGGTTCCAAAAGCTGAAGTCATGTCAAACACCTCTAAAGTTCGGCTTTTGAAAAGGTGAAAAGTGGTTTTGTATAATATAAAAGCAGAAGCTGTTTTGAAAATACAAGATTATCTTTACCTTACTTTAATTTTGTTTTAGAAAAATTTAATTTTTTCTCATTTATATAATTTTAAAAATAAAATGAATTAGAAAATATTATTTTTTAATATAAAAGAAATCTAAAAGGATCATTTTGATTATATTTTATTTTTAAAAAAATTTATTCATATTTTTATTCGAAATCCTTTTTAGAAATTTTACATGACCTCTTATATTAAAAAGCACTTCTAATAGTTTTTCAGCCAAACACTCAACTGCTTTCTTTGAAAAATACTTTTCTAAAAACTCAAGTCAGAAGCTGTTTCTGCAAAAGCTACAACAGGGCCAAACTAACTCTTAATCTACTCCCTCCACTTGTCTCGTGCCCCACATACAACACTTAATCCTTAACACTACTTTTGGCTTTAACACAAAACCATTTTCCTTGCCTATTAAGACTCTTAATTCTTCTTCTCCTTGTAGGATGATACATTCATCAATACTCTTTCAAATATAAAGAGACTCTTCCCATTCATATTGCATCTCTCATCAGGCATATCACTCGTCAATCACATAAACACATGAGACAACACTAACAACATGGGCATGTGTACTGCCCCTCCATAGCAGGTATCTCTTTCAATATCTTAGTGGTTAATAATTATTATCTTTTCTTTTATTAATGAAATGTGATACCAATCTACTTGGTTTTATGACCACCCGTATCAATGCCATACTTCTATCCCAACATACCCTCTATGTCATGGCTAGCTACTCAAGCCATGTCAAGAGGGTGTCATGCCATGCCTTAGGGTGTGGGAGACTTGGCATGCCGACCATCATGGCGGCCGCCTAACATTGAACCCATTGACATCCCACGTCCCAAAGAGAAGGGACGTAGGGCTTGAGATACTTACCATTGATCAATCGATCATGAAACACACCATCTAAATCTTTTAACAAGTAGGCTCCATTGGACCGGGGCATAGACAATGAAGGGTCCGCGCCAGTTGGGAGACCACTTGCCAAACTTGGGATCTTTATCCCCAATGGGTAAGTGTAGTTCCATACTAGCTCTCCTTCTTCAAAAGACTTGTGTTTAACTCTCTTGTTGTAAGAGCGTGCCACTTTGTCTTTTTTCACCATTATGTTATCGAGTGCTTTGATCTAGAGCTCATCAAGATCACATAATTCCAACATCATGGACTCATAGTACTATGAGGATGTTAGTTCAAGTTGCATCATGTACCTCAATGACTTGACCGTTATTTTGAGTGCCAAGAAGGCCTCATGGCCATATGTTAGAGAGAAAGGGGTCCCCTTTGTACTACTGCGTGGTGACATCCGATAAGCCAATAAGGCTTCCGACAAGACTTCATGTCACTTCCTCGGGTTATCTTCAATCATCTTAGACAATATACCCTTCACCACCTTGTTGGATGCTTCAACTTGACCATTGGCTTGAGCATAGTAAGGAGTGGAGTGTATGATCTTTGATGTCGTGTTCCTCGGCAAAAGCCATCACTTTCCATCCCGCGAACACAGTAAGCTGGTCAGCTGTTATGGTGGCTTGCAAACCGAATCAGTGTATTATATTCTCTTTGATGAATTTGATGATCTCTCCTTGATTAACCACTGTCATTAGCTTAGCCTCCACCCACTTCGATAAGTATCCTTAATTCTCTCATCTCTTGAACCTATTCCTTTTAGATACAAAAATAAAACGACTCCTCCCCTGAAAAATTGAGATTGCGAGACACATTAAAGTTCAATCTGAGTTCCCCCAAAATAGAAAAATAAATTCGAGAGAGGGATCAAACTTTCTTTTCATTTTATTTTTTGAACCCCTTAACAAAAACAACACAATCTTTTCCAATAGATACAAAAATAAAACGACTCCTCCCCTGAAAAATTGAGATTGCGAGACACATTAAAGTTCAATCTGAGTTCCCCCAAAATAGAAAAATAAATTTGAGAGAGGGATCAAACTTTCTTTTCATTTTTTTTTGAACCCCTTAACAAAAACAACACAATCTTCTCCGATAGATGTCCAATAGTGTACCTATACCGATGGAGTACCCATCTCACAGAATGACCTGTTTGATGAGCACCCCAAGCACTTCAATAGCAAACCATCTTATCTCCTCTTGTACAAGACTTTATCCAACATGACATAGTTCATTGCTTTGAATTTGATGGCCCTATCCACATCCTCTATTGGATTCTTCAAGTAGGCTATCAAGAGGAACGCCAGTCACTAGCATCCTCTTCAATTGTAAACACATCTACCCTTTGTTTAAGTATCTCATGCAGTGGGTTAAGTATTCGCACAATTCATTAACCGGGCGTAGGGCAATGTTTCTCTATGACTCTATGTCTCATAATACACCCACTGAGAGGCTGCCTTTTCTCAATAAGACAGCGCAACTGTTTTCGTACTACGATTAACCAACTTCTTAGCTTTTGAGAATTCGTATGCAATTAGGATTCATCACTAACAGAATTACATAGCGTGGACATAGAAATCCTATCCAAAAGTAGAGCTAACATACTGTTTGGTAC